TTCCTTTCACAAGAAGCTTGGCCGAATCAGCACATAAGGCTTTCTACTCAATCCATTGTGATTCCCTGAAATCTCTGAAGTAGCAGAATTCTCAGACGACATGGTCAAAACAGACAATCAGTCCCAAACACCGGACTTAGGACCCCTCCTTACTCCACAAAAAAATGCTCCACTCAGTCCACACCCACACACTTGGGTTTGAAAACAGTCTGAGTACAAACAATACCAATTTCAGGACAAACAAAGGCAATATTCGGCAGATTTCAGACCTGTACGGTTTAACAGTCCCAACCTACTAGCCTTCCAGAATGTCTAAGAACATTAATCAGCAGGAGAGATCCTTAACACTTATAATCAAGCCAAATAATTGAGATAACAGGTCATCCTTGACCTACAGTCGCCTTAACACAGGAACAGGATCGCACGATCCCAAAAAAACTGAGGTATAAAGATCTGATAGCATTCAGCAGCCCAGATTCATTTGGTTTTTTCACTTGGTACACGACCAAGGAGGGTAAAGAAGAGAAAAAGGAAGGACTGTACCAGTTGTAGATCTGTTTTTCTCAGTCCAGATTCAGATCTCTGTTCCACCCAGATTCAGCAAGTTGGAAGAGTGAAGTCTGTTCGATCTGTTTGATCAGTGAAGTTTGTTCGATCTGTTCTCTCAGTCAGTATTCCTGCTCTGATACCATCTTGACAGTGTGGCCCGCCAGAAATAAGAGGAAGAGAAGAGAAGAGAAGAGAAGGGATTGGCAATGTAACAGTACTGGCGGCGCCAGCTTTTATTATAATATATATAGGGCGGCAGAAATAAAAAGAGAAAAGACCCTTGTGCCCCTGCTATAAGTGAGTACAATAACAGACATAACAGAAGTAAAAAAAATAGAAATAAAAAACGCTTTAACTAGCCAAACAGACCCTAACACCAACAACTAAATTATTTCAACAGCATGAAAAACACTTAAAAATACAAATCTATATCTCATGTACGCAGCACAGAAAACTCAAGCCTGGCACATGAAAATTCAGCTGGTTGGTCCAACTGGACTATTAGGATCCAGTGGTTTAATCCTGGAGATAGTATCATTGGGTTGGGAGATGATCTGACWAAGTTCTGGGTTCCACTGAACTGCAAGGTTAATGATCCGACTGCCAGGTTTTAAAATATTGGCTTGGTGTTTGGTGGATCTTGGCTCAACAGGATTTAGATGAACGCAAACAGTATAATTTCAACAGGACTGCTATGAACGCAAACAGTATAATTTCAAACAGTATATTTCAATATGGCAGACCTCATCTATCCAGGACTGCTATGAGATTGGTGGATGTGCATCCTTTATGCACCTCTTACTCCAGCATATATGAGATTGCTGAGAATAAACACAACTATCCGGGACTACTATTAGATTATTAGGGGCTAGATTACTTGGATGCGTCGTTTCAGAAGGAATATCTTTGATTGGGAGGCTGAGGAGCCATTTACACTACTAGAAATGCTAAGCCTGCAGGTTCTCAACCCAGAAAGGAAGGACAGAATGTGGTAGCTTGGTAGTAGCGATGGTATTTTTACAGTGAACATTTTAGAGATCTCTGATGGATTCAGTGGATCCTGACTCCTGAGGTGCATCAGAAGTGGATTTGAAGGGCTGGGGTTCCATTTAAGGTGGTCTTTTTTTTGCTTTGACTGCTATCAAAGATAAGATCATCACCATAAATCACCTGCTGTTGAGAGGAATAGCTTTGGAGAATCCCTGTCAGCTGTGAGGGAGTGCAAGTGAAAGTGTAGAGCATTTGCTAATATACCGCCCATTCTCTTATAACATTTGGGCTCACTTTGTGAAGTTGTTTGGTACCCAATGGGTAACACCAAGGGATGTGGCTGGTTTGTTTTGTGGATGGCCTTTGAAATGTTTCAGCAAAAGAAGCATTCTTTGGTCTTTGGTGTCCTTTTCCTTGTATTTGTCTGTAAGAATCCATAGGATCTTTGAGAATAAGGTTTCTCCTATTGAACTAGTGGTGGGGAATGTGGAGAGGACCATAATCCGATGGGCAAGCTTGAAGAGTGATTTTGTGGGGATGAAGCTTCTTCATTTGTCCAGTGCATAGAATCTGATTATTAACTCAAATGATGCTGGGATGGCTCTTTGTAAGTTTGTACGTATGACTCATTCTCACTGTAGGCGCTCCTCTATGGCTCTACTTGAGCTCTATACAGCTCTTTTTCATGCTGAACTCATCTTTTCTTTTTTTGGTTGCCAATGATATAATGTAAATGCATAGGCACAGGCACACACAATCTTTATAATTTTCATTAGCATTTGTGAAAGAAGGAACTTATGCTTTAACAAGTAATACTATCTTATTCCAACCATTTGGCGTTGGGTATGTGACTATGGTTCTGTAATTCTATTCATTAATATAAAAATAAAAAAGATTTTTTTTTTGCACTTTGAATAATAGAATACTCTATCCATGCTATGATTTTTTGTCCTATATTCCTTTATTATCAATAATTAATAGCTTCTTTGTGAACATGCAAAATCCACAAGAATTGAAAAATTACTAATTACTTGCTTCATTTCTTATTTTTTGCATGTCTCACTTTATCTTGGGTTTTGCAAGTGTAAACATTGATTTGTTTATAAATTCTCTTTGTATACTGGTGGATTTAGGAAACTTATCTGCCAATGTGTGGATTTGTAGAACATTTTCCATTTAGGGCAAGGTTCAAAGTATTGACACGTATCGGCCGATACGTATCGTTCTGGGACCCCTCCGATACGCCCCTACAGTGGCTGTATCGGAGGTCAGACTGGTTCAGGGGGTAGAGGAGACCTAAACTGGCCCCCTGAACCGGTTGTGAAAAAAATAAAAAAAAAGCCTGAAAAACTGTATCGATTTGCCCGATACGCCCACACCGGTGTATTGGGCGTATCGATATTTTGAACCTTGATTTAGGGAAAATTTTCATGGGCTGCCTGCTTTCAAAGCTTCTTCCCGCATATTGCCTCAAAGTTTGAAGATGGCTTTGAACATCTTTCTTTTCGAAACGTTCAGTAGATTGCAGGTTTCCTTGACTTATGAATATGTATAGGATGTCTGGTTAGTGCAACTTGGTATAGTGTGCAATGGCATTACTCCCCATAATGCCATTGACTTGGCTTGTCAACTTGGTATAGTGTTTGGTTATACAGTTTTATAGTCAATCACAATAATGTCATAATTATCAGACTTGTAATGGCTATATTTTATTTTTACAAGTGCCAACTCCCTGACTCAAACCCATGTTCTCATGCTTGTCTCTGTAAGTGTTCATTGATCAAGTAAGATTCTACTGATTTTCTAATATAGATTTCTGGTGATCCAAGGTCTTCAATCCTAGGGATCTGGTTCTGTTTAGCAAGCCTTTCAATTTGCAAGGAGTTTCTACGTTTTAACCATATTTTATTCTTAATTGTCGGCCCCAGCTGCAAAATGATGATGTAGTTCTGGAACATGGTATGGTAGGGGGTGTGCAATGGCATTACTCCCCAGCCCCATTTTTAAATGATAGAGTATGGAGTTGAATTGAAGGTGGTTAGGAATTTTTTATATAGGTGAAGCCATGAAGGTGGTTAGGTTCAGTTGAAATTGAAAAAGAAAGATGCTGAAAGCCATTTTCAAACTTTAGGGCAGCATGTGGGGAAAACCTTGAAATTAGACATTTTCTGGTAATTTCCCTTCCATTTGATAGGCAACTTGATTGGATCTCCCAATTCTTTTTATTCAGGGTGTTTGACTATTTGATTCAACATCCAAACTGGAAAGACACCTTTCCTATGAGAAAGCCGCGCATCTTTCATAGGTCTGCTGATGGAGGCTGGATAAAGTGCTGATATAAGAAGGATCTTCATGTAAGCTACATGCTGAAGTTCATATATATTACCTCTACCTTTAAATTCCCATATTATTATTTAAGTTCCCTTCTACTTGTATGTTGTTATCGAGACAAAAGTTCTCAATAAAATTGTATAGGTATTCTTTAATAGCACAATACAGTTGCTTTGTTGTACACAACATGCACTGTAATAGATTTGCCGCAAAAAGGTTTATAATATGTTGATTCAGAAGGGTTGAGATTTACTCTTGTATTTGCTAGAGGAGATCAGAAATGTGATTCTCATAAGCCTTGTATGTTGTCTATGAAGGGTATTAGGTCAAAATTTGGGACTGGTTTGGACCTTATTAAAACAGGATGACTTAATCTAGAATTCTAGATCATATACTTTTTTAGTGCCACAACAATAGCTATAACTTTTCTGTAATATAATTTTGGCACACCATGCATGGACCAATTATCTCAGTCAAGTCCACCATGATCATTTGCTTCAGTTCGGCCTCTGAAACTCTGACCTTATTCAAAGAGGAATTTGCCTTCTTTTTTTTTATATTAAATATTGAATGTATTCTTTAGCAGATATCTTATTGGCCATCCAACAAGCAAACCTTTGTGAAGTATAACAATGCTGATAACAGATGAGAAGGGGAATATATCAAAGGGCATGAATTTCTTTTACCTTTAGGCTGTGTTTGGTTTCTACAGGTTTCCTTTCTCTACTTTTTTCCTTCAAACCAAATACATCCTTATGACCTTATGGTACGCTTAACGTTATGTGAAATAAAATTATTTATTTCATTGTGGTCTTCCTTGATACCAGTATTGAGTGTATTGTCAGACTCAGAGCGGATTGGATGAACCGGCTATCTGAATGAGCCATCTGGCCGGTTAACTCTAGTCTGGGTCTGACAACATTGGTTGATACTTTTAAGCCAAAAATTTACCGTCTAAATCTAAAATGGAAGTATCCATGGTTGTAATTTAGATATTAGAATGCGGTAGTCTTAAATGGGTTAAGCCTGTATAGAGTTGAATTAGGTAATCTTTATTTGATTTATGAATCCGTTTGAGGTGAACAGTTAGTGGATTGAATTTTAGGTTCAAATGAACTGATCCGTTGGTCACATGAAACTAAAATAATTTCATTTTAGCCACTTTCAAACAGTCTATTCAAGGTTCTTTTTTGTTGATAAAGCCCGAGGGCCAATTCATTCAATGAAAACTATCAGTTACATCTGAAATGCAAGTATCTTTCAAAAACCCTGGAACCGAAGACCAAGTTTTGGGTAAAGAGCAAGACTTGCCAGTTTGTGGGCTGCCTTATTACCTGATCTGGGAGTGAATGTAACTGAACAGTTAGGAAGGTGGTTAAGCAGATTCACATGATATACTCAACGTATTGTATCATATCAACGGGTCTCCTATACCCCAAAAAAAGAAATGTTTCAGATTTTGGGATGTTTCAGGGTAAAAATGCAAAAAATCGAACCCTGAAGCAATTTTGAAAAAAATAAAAAAATGGTTATTAAGCATTGAAACACCTGATATGCTTATTTGTTCATATCAGGTTTATCAATACTTTTTTTTTTTTGTATTAATCACTGCCTGACACCCCGTAGGGGTCTTACTTTTTTAAGTGAACAGTATAAATTACATCAACATCTCTTTTCTTAGGAGATGATATTAAAAAGATTTGAAACCACACCACTGCTGGGACAATTCATCCAATGCACCAACTGGACTATCCCTCAGTAGACTCATGGTTTAAAGTGTATCAATGATTTAAACCATGAGTCTATTGTTAATTCCTATTTTGCCATGTATTATTTGCTGGAGTTTGAATTCATGGATCTAAGCATATATTGTCTGTCGCTTTCTCTTGTTTGGATTGTTAGTGTTGTTGCTTCTGTTGTCTTTGTTTGAATGGTTTTTTTTTTCAAAAAAAAAAAAACAAAAAAGCATAGCCTTTTGTTTATTTATTTATGGTTTGAAGGGTCTTGGACCAACTTATTTAGAGGTGGCATTTTCTGGCACAAACAGTTCATTCCACCAACTTCCAAATGAGACAAAAAGTATAAATTTTGTATTAAGTAGGAATGAAAATCATTATTACACACAGAAGAAAAACTGAATCAGGTGCAAAAGTTATACATGGTTTAAATTTGCACTGCAACCAAATGCAGCCCTAATGATTTTTCACATGTTGTTCTGATTCTGCATCATTCTCGCAGTGTTTTATATTTTTTGGTATTACAAATTATTAATAGGTGGGGACAAAGCACCGTGCACCTGAGGTCCATTGACCTTACCAGCTTTCTGTTTTTCTACCAAGGCAATCCAATTCTAATCCATTCAGAATTGGAATGAAATTGGATTCGCAGCAATTAAGGCTATGTTTGGTTTAACTCTCATTCTTGCCCAATATGAAATTTTAAAATAAACAAGAATGGGTAAAAATGGGTAGAATGAGAAAATTTTGCTACAAACCAAACACTTTTTTTTCCTAAAAAATGTTTTTTTTCAGACTGACAAGTGCTCTTTTTGCTCACTTTCATTCTTCAAAAAAAACTCTGTGCTGGTGATCATATACTGCAGGCTTAGCATAGTTTTCAAGGCGCCAAGGCAAGGCTAGTCGCCTAGGTGATGGATTTTTTTATGTTGAAAACATAGATCCTAGGGTAGTCCTTAGGTACCATAACCATATTTCCTTAATAACTATTCATAATTTTCATAAGAAAAGTATAAAGTTCATATTAAAATATAGAAAATCAACATATTCATGCGAAGAAAAAGAAGGAAAATAAAATTCAAAAAATACAGGGGATGAACCCTTATTTTTGTTATAGGAAAGAAGAAAAGAAAAAGTAATGGTAGTAGTAGATTAAGCCCTAGAAAACAATAAAAATAAATTAGTATATAAACACACAAAATGATTATTTTAGTTTAATAATGTCTATTTTATAATTATAATATAAAAAAATGAACAAAAAAGTATTTTATAGAAGGAAGTAAAAAACTGCTTGGCAATTAGGCGAGGCAAGCCTCAAAGGGCACTTCATCGCCTAGGCGTCACCTTGACAACTATGCAGCTTAGGTCTCCAAAACCGTTGGCATAGATGTTTACTAGCAATTGGCCAATGGTTACTGTTCGTTGGCATAAATTTCATGGCAGTCCACCAGTAAACATCTATGGTGAAAATTTTGTAGACCTAACCAATGGCTTACGCTTGCTAGTAGGGATGGCAATTTTGCGGGAATTTTTGGGTATCCGACATGTCCCGACCTTAATAGGACCCGTTTATCAAAACCCTATAGGGTTTGGGTTTTGACTTTAGGGTATCCGATACCCGATACCCGGGATGCATAAATATGAACCCGTTATATTATATATCATGCACAAATTTATAAATTTTATGTACTAAGATAATTATTCTATTATTAATATTTTATTTGTATAAATTTCTTGGATTAAAATGATCATTTTATGTAAATTTGGATTTGATAGATTGTTTATTTCATTTAGTTATAAAATGCTAATTTTAAATATTATTTCTTTTAATTTTTAGTTGGAATTGTTAACCATATATATATATATAGTATGTATGCATTGATTGTTTTGATGGACACAAAATTTAATAAAATCTATTTTATTTCATTAAAAAATACCAAAGGTGAAATGGCTTAGTGGCTTAAAGTAGAGCTAAGAGATTTGGTGTTATCATTAATTGATTTGGGTTCAAGTCACATTATAAGCATTAAGAAATTTTTTTTAGTAGAAAATGTTTGGTCAAGGGGTTTAACGGGTGGAACAAGTCGGGATGGGTGACCCAGGTTTAACAGGTTTGGGAAATTGAAAGGAAAAGTTAGATAGGTTTGGAATCAGGGATACATAGGTAGGTCGGGAATGGATAGGGCAATTTGCACGGGTACCCTACCCATTTCCATTCCTACCTGCATAGAGTTTCTTTAAAGAATGAAAATGAGCAACATGGTGCATGATTAATTTTCATGCTACAGGTTACCACAATTTTTGTGCTATAAGCTGATTTTTCATTCTAAAAAAAAATGAGGCCCATGGTAAGAATTTTGTAACCAAAAACTCTAATGTTATTTATTCTTGCCCATTCTTGCTCAAGATGAACAAGAATTAAAAGAATGAGGCCTAGAGCAGCAAACCAAACATTGCCTAAGTTCCAATCCAAAATCCAATAATATTGCACTACATATTCATATATCAGTATAAAAGTAACATATATTTATTAGTTATGTTGGTTTTTGTTGTATTTTTGCTAGAGGGTCATAGGTTGAATTTTCATAAAAGAAGATTTTAAGTCATTGTTTACATGATATAATAATAATATTCAAATCTAATCCAGGTATCATCTGAATCTAATGCAAGTAACCAACCTGTATTCTCTCAAACCTGTTTTATCTCACATTTAGTCCAACACATTACCATTGCACCAAGCAATAAGCCCTCTTTTCTCCTTACCTTATGTTCCTTTCCATGAAAAATGTATTTTCGTAATATTTTATACCATATTATTTTGTATATATTTGTATTTGTACTCTTTCCAAACTGAGCCCAAGACACTACACCACACATTAGAAACATCTTTTGTGAATGACAACATACAAGTATGGGAGATGTTTCCAATGTGTGGCTATAGTGTTTTGTGGGTAGCAATTCAAGCACATTCGTGCTCATTAGGAGAAAGATCCCAATCCAATAAGTTAGTCAAAAAATTTTCATTTTCATTTGAAGTTATTTATTATTCTTAACTAGTCAGGACCCAAGTGATGTATAGGCTTTGTTAAGAGAAATTGAAACAAAATGATCCCTATGACATCCTCAATCAAGGATGATTAAATGGAATTTAAATGAACTTTAAATTAGTAAACATTAACTTTAAGATTATACATTTTATTTTTATTAACAATGTAGTTTAAATTTTATTAATATAACATTTCAATTAATAATTTTTAATCATAGAGTTAATTTTATTGATTGTTACTAATTTTTATTAATTTTAGTTATTTTAAATAAGATTTAAATACACTTTAAATTAATAAAAATAATTCAAAAACTAATATTTTATTAATTTATTTGTATTAATTTGTATAATTTTAAATATAGTTTAAATGGACTGAAGTTATGATTTTTATAAGTAATATGGATAATTATTAGAAGATTCTGTAATTATTTTTTATTATAATAATATTTTATAATTAATTACTGAGTATTATTATTTACTTTAATATTATTGTTTTTATTAGAATATTATTATTTACTTTATTTATTTATCTTGTTTTATCATCTATTCTTTTCTCTTGTTAGTACTATAGATATTTTTTATTTATCTTATTTAAATATTTAAGTTTTAACTCAAACATTAATATTGAGAGAGAAGAAAACATCACATAGTGTTATTGGGAATGTAAGATAGTTTAGGAGGAAATTTTATGTAACTAGAATTATGAAATAGTTTAGGAGAAATTTTAGAAGGGGAAATGTTTCATGTGATTAGGAAGGTGAGATGGTAGAGATTATGTTAAGAAAATGCAAACATTCAGAAAGATAGAAAAATAAAAGGGAGGGTAAAAGACTTAAACATACCCTTAGTTTTCATTATTTGACTTATACCCTGAGTTTTTCAAAAGGATTTAAAGATACCTTGTAGATTGACCCATTAGACTTAATGAAACGTTGTATGCAAATTCATTTAAATCCTATTTTGCCCTTTAACAAATGAACCTAGTTGTCTGTTCACCTATTCTATTATTTGAATTATAATAAAGATGGCCTTCACTATTTTATTTGAAAAATTACTGGTCAACAACAGTTCATGAAGTCTCTCTGCATAAACGGTTCCATTTTTCTCACATCAGTGCAGCTGCTCTTTAAACATTGTTGCTTATATAAGACCAAAACCTTTTGAATTATTAAATCTAATTCTTTTAAAGATGCATCTACTTCTCATTCCTCTGTACTATATGGATTTGTCATTTCAAATCCTTTTTTTAACTTTGTATTTGTATAGCCAATACATAGAGCTGTTAAAACATCTAACATTAGAATTTATATAGACAAATTTCAACTTGAACTAGGTGGGGCTCATTAAGCAATCTCTAGATCCGTATTAAAACCTCACCACTCTTGCTAATAGTTGGAGGGGGAAAATGTGATATTCTCTGTTATCTTCATTATTTGGATTTATAATCCTTTAGGTTATTTTTGAAAATTTGAGAGAAAATGAAGGGTAAAAGAGTTACAAGGTATATTTAAGTCAATTAATGAAAAATCGGGATATGTTTAAGTCTTGAAGGCAAAAGAGGACTGCTGACGTGGATAACTGCATTTCAAGTATATTAAGACGATTAAGTTACATCATATTAATTTGCTACATACCGTTATCTATATCATCATGATGATAAGAGTTCGACAAAAAGTTTTATGTGGCCACCAACCTGACACAACCCGCCTTTATCCAGGCTTGAGACCGGCGGTGTAAGACGAGATCACAATTCACACCGGAGGCCGCGGATGTTTTTATACTAAATTAATAAGAGATAATATCAGCTTCATCAATTTATGACTGTTTGATGGAAAAAGAATGGTGAAGAACATCATCAAGATGGGAGGTGCAACATAACCAGTTTAATGATTAACTTCCTAAAGAGTTCTTCTATAATGTAGTTCATTTCTAAAATAAATGTCAAATAATAAAAACAATAATTAATAATTTTAATTTATATATAAAAAAAAAAATTACTGTTTTAATGGATATTTTTGGTAATTCACCACCTCTTACCAGTTTGTGCAATTGCCCGTGAAACCCCACAAGGCACAAGCTAGTTAAAGTAGATCGCGAGTAACTAGAGGAAGCCATTAAAGATTCAGTAGTTTTCTTTTCTTTTCACTTTTTTTTTTTCAACATGGTTGGTGACACCATGTAATCAACAGCTTAATTAATGCATTAGATGAGAGGGAAGGATACATTTATTCCATTGTCCCGATACAATGGTGAAAATTAAGGACCTCAGATATATATATTCAATAAACACATTTGACAAATTACCAAAAGGATCTCCTTCACTTATGAACGAGAAAATGCATTTCAATGTGACTATAATACCCTTCCACCACCCAAAGAGGTGGTGAATCTGGTGATTGGCTGGTTTGTTGTTGAAAACTAGTAGGGGTGTTGATGGAAATGAGGTGGTGGCATCATAGAGATGATGAAATTGGAAGTGATTAGGGAAATGTTTGGAACCCATGTCATTCTTTTGATGAGATTTTTTCAAATATCACTGATTTTTCACAAATTAGAGAAATTGCTTGTTTGGTTCATTGTTGCTCTGTTAGTCAATTTTTCATAATATATCAGTTATGAGTTAGTTTGGTAGTGATTATTATCGTTGGAATCCTCTCCCCTATCTAAATAAGATGCCATATCATTCAAAAATAATTAGAGTCGACATGAATAGAGCAATCCGATTATAATAATCCATTYTTTATGGGTGAATAATGGACGATTTTGAAATCATTGTTGTGGCTCTGATATGGTGATTTTTGAAAAATTAGTATCGATCCCAAACACCACCTATAAGGCATCGATCCCAAACAGAACCTAGAGTTTAGAACCCACACGGTGGCACAAGGAAGTTGGTGGGTTGTTAGACAATTAAGAAAAAGAGCAAGGGTAATAGAAGAATAAAAAATATTATTAAAACCAGAGTATCAGAGGATTACAGAGGATTAATTAATGGGGTGTGGGAATGGTGCAGAGCACAAGGAGGAGATTTGGAGAACAGAAACGGCTGATGAATGATGAAGTTGATGGTGCAGGTGGTGGCGATGATCCTGAAGCGCCAATCCAATCCAATCCGATGGCGTAAACACCGATGCTGGTCAGTCCAAAGCATGAAATCGAATGGTTGAAAAGTGGTTAATGCTTTGTCCACTCGCGAGTGAAGATTTGTGTGACTGACTGACTGACGGTGCTCTTTGCTGGGACCCACTCGGGCGGACGGAAAGGCTCCCGCCGGCTACGTGTCTCGTCGACATTGTAACGCTGCGAGTGGACAAATTATGCAGAGAGAAAGAGAGAGCAGAGAAGAGAGAGAGAGAGAGAGAGAGAGAATTCTGTGAGATGGAGAAGAAAGGAAATTGATTTTTCAAAAAAAAAAGAAAAGGTTGAGAAGATCGAGGAGGAGGTGGGAACTCGGATCTGGTGGGACCGATACCTGTGGCCTACAGGCCTGTGGGGCCTTTCGGGTTGCTCGCCGGGGATCTGACACGTGGCAGGTGATGAATGGTGTGATTTTTAATAGTCTCGAACCGGCTTCCATCAACGTTGTTTTCTTCAACAGGGATTCAGCCGCCGAGCTTGCTTTTAGTTTATTTCATTTTTTCTTCTTTTTTTTTTTTTTGAATTTTTCGATTTGCATGCTCGAATCTATCCTATACCCCATTTTGTCTCGTCTATAAGACCCGACCCATCGATCATCCTAAAGACATACAGCAAATAATCTCGGATTCCTATTAGGGTTCTCTCTCTCTCTCTCTCTCTCTCCATATCGCCTATTTAAAGGTGTGAACTCTCTCTCTCTAGCACACAAGCTCCTCTCATCGCATCCCTTACTGTTCCTCTCCCACTCTCACTCTCCAAAAAACTAAGATGGGTTTCAGTCTGGTTTCAAACCTGACCATCTGATGATACTATAGTAAGTCTCTCTATCTCTGTAGGTTCATGTATATGTGTGGTTTCTGTTCTGTAACTTTTTATTAGAGAATAAATTCATGAATCGATGAACTGCTCGTTTTCTATCAATGTATTTAGCGTAGTGTTGTGCTATATATCCTTTGCATGGAATACCCAGATGAGCAGATAACCAGAGAAGTTTATTTTGACTTCCATTTCTGATGTTTTATTACGCCGAAGCCTTCCTTTGCGGGGTCTCTGTGTTTTATTTTTCAGATATGCAGATCGATGTTTGAGTAAAAATTTAACCTGAGGCCGGTTCTTCGATCAACAGAGGGAGAGAGCAGAGAAACGATTCGATATCGTCTCTGTTCTTGGTTCTTCTTATTTTTACTTGATTCTTGAATTCTTTCTCTCTGCCCATCAGTTCATATCTCTTTTCTCCTAGTCATTAGTATACTCATGTTACTGTGTCCATGTGGACTTTTGTGTCAGATTTTCCTGCTACTTCCACTGAGCTTGCAATCGATTAATGCCGTTACAGACATACATCTGTCCACATTATTCTACTCATCGGCTCTCTCACTCCCACTCTCTCTCTCAGAGACTCAGAGTTGAATGAAATAGAATTTCAATCTACCAGTGATACTGAAGGCTCCTTTGTTGGTTTCACCTCTGCTTCCTTTTCGTCATTTGCATGGTCAAAGATTTTCAAGTACCATTCTGTCTTTCTCTAATAAAGCAAACAGCGATTCTGACTGTACTGAACGTACTTCTTTCATGGGCTTGGTACAGATCGACACAACCGCCGTCGAAACTCCGGAATCACATTGTCGGATCGGTTAAACCCCTCCACAGCCATGAAGGAGCAGGACCTTCTCCGTCGACTCGAGAAATTCCCCGGCGAGAACCCAGACATCGGCGTCGACTGCGAGCTCAGACTCGGTCTCTCCTACTCTCGTCCCAACCCACCGCAATCTCAGACGAACTATCGAAAGATCATCTACGACTCTCCTCCTCCTCCTCCTTCTCCCCCTGCACAGGTATCAATTTCTTTCTCTCTCAACAAACCGATCAGCTCTCACTCTCTCAGCATCAACGGATCCATGCAAACTGATATCAGCGATCTGGGAAAGTTCTTGGGTTTTGATCCCAGAAGCTTTGATTAACGTAACGATCTACGTAAAGATCAATGATCGATCTTTACTTCTCTTCATGCAAAGCTTACCTTTTCGTCTTCTTTCTTTTTGATTTTTTTTTTTAAATTGGCCGAAAAATTCCACGATCCCAAGCCAGAGATGCCGCCCTATGAGCATACAACCTGAACCAGGGTGGGGGATGCGATAGGAAGATCCGGGCCACAGATCTCAGACCTTGATCTGCTGGTGGGTCCCTCGATCCTGGGGCTCTTGAGATGGCTCATGTACAACGCATAAAAAGATTATTCGGTACAGACAGATAAACCGGTCTTCCGTCAGTTCCGTGTCTTGTTCCCAGGTTTCGATATCTTATCCCATTCTGGGTATTGGAGAGCTGCGGCGGCAATCCACCGCCGGCGGTGGGGATGCCCGGGGAGAACCCAATCAGGTGGTGTAGATGAAGAGAAGAAGTCTCGATCGGACGGTGGAGATGAGTATCGTCCGTCACCGGTACGGCAGGTTATCGGTACCTTGATTTAAGAGAGAACCTTGTTCCTTATTGGGGGTTGTATGTATTTGCCTCGTGAACATGTACGATGGAGTAATCATGCTCCGCCTAGTATCATAAAAGCTGGTGCTTGATACAGCGCATGCTCATCGAGTGACGGTTATGTTAGGTGACGTGTCATGGAATCTGGCTGTCCACGTGGACTGGTGAACCTGCCATACATGGAAAGTGTTGACTCGATATGACTCACGGTTAGGTCCTTTTGACCTGACCTTGGCGTTTCCTATCTTGGTATGAGCTTCTCAAGCTGAGATAGATTCACTTTCGTCATCATATCCAAGGATGGGTGATCCCCGCGGGTCCCACCGTGCTGGATCCCCTGCGCCCCTGGCCCACCGTCTAGGCTCGATTGGGCGATCCAAACCATCGGATCGTGTACTTTTGGTTCCACTTGGTTGGTCGCATTCAAGACCGACCAGATGAATACGGCTGACGGATTGGCTCAATCATGTGTCTTATTATGTGTGTATGAGTGTGTCGAAGTGACGTTGGACGTATTGATGCCTGCTCGGAAAATAAAGGGGCCAAAGCCCAATGATAGGTACTTTTGGCCATTTCCTTCGACTGGCTGGTCTGGTCTGGTTCATCATAGGTTCGTCCTTGTCCTTGTGGCTTTCTACATTGGGCCGGGTGAAATTTAGTGGACTAGTCTCATCCCTCTCATCAGTAATCACTAATCATCTTTGGTTTTGTGGAGTTCAGATCTGCTACCAACAAACACTCACAAGACTAATGACAGTCATGTACTGGGAACATCTTATCATGAATGATAAGAGATATTCATAATGTGTAGCTGCATTGACTGTTGGGAGCGCTTTGTTGGTAGCATATCCCTACCGGGTTTGGTGGTAGTACATGGTTCAAAAGATTGAAAAATGGATGATATGATGATTTTTATGGTCTTTTATGGGCTGATGGGTGAATTGCCCGATTAATCGGAAAAACTGTGACCCATGGAGCATTCCGGTTTTTAGTCCGGCTTGAGTCTTGCAACCGGTTTGGTCTGTTGGTTGTGGATAAGATAATCAATATTAACCATGGTTTTGCTTGGCCTGAACTGAACAGGTGATGGGGAACTACGGAATGGTGAACGGGAACTATGGAGTGATGATGAATCCAAGGGGAGCTTCAATGAACAACGGCTGGGGAGTCAATGGGTCGAACCAACTGACCTGGTTGCCGGCCATGGTGAACCATCCGAGCAACAACGGCAATAGGAGGGATGGGTTCAGTTACTATGTGGGTTCGTCTTCTGCTTCAGGTAGCAATAATCCAACTGTGATGAATGATTTCCGGCGATATGCCGGTGCCGGTGCCGGTGCCGGGGGTCTGCTGCCGATACAGATGCAGCGGAATAACGTCACGGTGATGAACAACATAATTCAGATGATACCACAGCCGGAGCGTCCGGTTGCCGTTGGTCCAGTCAAGCGTTGCGCTGCTTGCGAGACCTCCACCACCCCATTATGGCGCAACGGCCCCAAGGGCTCCAAGGTAAATTTTCCTATTTTAAATATTAAGGGTCCGTTTGGGAGGGGTAAAGTTTAATCTAACTGTTTTAAATTGCTATTAAGGCTAATATTCTTGCAGAATGAGAGGGTATTTGGACTTTCGTGGTTTTTCAATAAGCATAGCTTATATTCCTCTCAAATGAGCACTAAAATAGCTAGCTGTCCAGGTGAATCCCAAACGGGCACCCTAGCAGTTGCTTGGGGTTTTCTAAGATGGACCCCACACGGACAGCCTATAACCTATATAACCTATGTTTGCTGAAAAACACGGAGAGCCCAAATTATGGCTGTCTATCGTGATATGAAGGACTGCCTGCATATAAGCTTTATGCTTGAGCACTTCAAGGTAGTTGAATCTTCAGCTCAACTTACCTTCCCAAACGGACCTTAAATCCCAGAACCCAGCTGGGAATGAAAAACGAATCCATTGCTTCTGGGTGCAAACGCTGAGTTTGCCAAAGAAGAATGAAACGAGCCCACTTCACGTGGCAATTAATCGACTACAGTCTATACACATACACACGAACAACCATTGATATGTTTGTAAGTTGGTAACGTTGGCGTTGGATTTCAGTCACTGTGCAATGCTTGCGGCATCCGGTATAAGAAAGAAGAGAAGAAGGCTTCGGGAAGCACAGACAGCCCTCAGAAATCTAAGGTTGGTGGGTCTGCCAAGGGAAGAGACTCCACCAAGAAGCCCAAGTTCTAAGACACATGTTGCTCTTTCCGCCATCTGACTCTTTTTTCCATCTGTTCTTTGGAATTAAGGTTTCTTGTTAGGATTGTAAATTAAATGGGCCATGGTTCAGACTGGAATGCTGAATGCTTCGATGATTGGTGGTAATTTGAATAAAAGTTTTCGGTTTCAAAATAAGGCTTTTCTCTTCTGGGTCTTTCTTCTGCAGGCTCGTGAGTTTTATATTGTATTTATTTTGTTTGCTTGTAGGTTCCTGAGAGAGAGAGAGAGAGTTTATTCCATCTGATATTATGTATTTGATGAGTTGAAAGAGGGGTGATTATTTCAACTTTTAACTTGCCCATAAGAAATGCCTTTTACTGTGTAAGATATTAACACTAGCAAAATTCTTCTTCTTGTTCTTCAACCAAGTTGGAGTTAGAGATAAGATGGAGTCACAAATAGAAATTAACAAAATTTCAATTGGCACTACCATGTTATTTTCTTTTTCTCATCCTATTGTTGGGGGTTGGAGATCTGTTCTGCTTTGGCAATTTTACCGATGCACCTACCACTCACATGAATTGGAAATTTTAGAGTATATTTTGAAAGAAAATAAAGGACAAAAGAATCAAAAGGTATGTTTAAGTYTTTCAYCATTTTTATTATTATATTATATAATGTTAATAYTTGCCTATTTTGCAAATCATGACTGCCAGATGGAATTAAGAATAAAGCGAAAAGTTTTTAAAATCTGAATATTATCTTATTTATACTTACATGCAAGTGCCCTTGAGAAAATATAGTTTGATGATGATACTATAGAAGAGCATTGGCAAATCATAACCTAATGGTGAATTTGAACAAATTCCACCTGAATGGTTACTATGATTTTCTGGTGTCATAGTCAAACCACTTTCTTTTTGGTTCATGAGGCTACAACCCGCAAAAGGTGGGAATCTATCGCAAGTCTACAATCAGCAAAAGACCCAACCAACTGAACCAATTGGCACCTTCAAGATTTGTTCCCACTGTTTTCTTTATAGAAGCAAAAGGGGCTACATAAGACGGGAGATAGCATTTCAGCTAAGCTAAGATTAACGGACTCCGATAGAAAAGATAGGGCTTTGTGCTTGCCTCCCAATATAAATGCCTTTATGTCAGACCTCAGACCTCTTCGAAACTCATCCTTTAACTCGATGCAGTTCTTAATGATGTGTCTTATCTTTCAAGGAACTGGGATCTTCTGCTTGAGACAAGTAATGACAAGATTGGAATCATTTTCATAATGAAAGTATAGTCTCTAAAATCCAAAGCCAAGCTATGGACTTCCCACGCTGCCTAAGTTTCCGCAATGTTAATTGAAGCAATACCAAGCTTATATGCCTTGATGTCTAAGACTTTCCCGAAATGATCTCTAGCAATGCTCGCAACTGAGCAAAAACCCTCCCCATTCCTACATGCATCAAAGTTGATCTTGATATGGTCGATATTAGGAGATTTCCAAATAATTGTCTTCCATCTTTTATCCAATTTGTCAATATTGGTCTCCAAATGCTTTTCATTGTATTCCCTAAACAGATTGAGGGCCTTGTCAATAACTAATTGGAGTGGGGCAGATCTGGACCGTTCTGAAAAACAGTGGATCGGAGAACTTGGGGTAGCTAACCCGGCAAGCTCGTTCCCATGCTCAAGTCTGTACTTATGCTATGAATGTGAGCTGAACGTTTGAGAACTTGAGTGCTAGTGAGTAGAATAATCACGCGTACCTTTGCCTTGAGGTTTCATGTCTTTATATAATGGAGTAGTCGTGGGCCTTACGAAAGAGCCCTGGGATCTCCGGGCTGTGGAGATAAGGTTTGTTTCATTTTTGAAAGAGAGTAATATGTTGATAAGGTTTATCATTTACCTCCGATTCAGGCGGAGCCAGGACGAGTTCTCATCATGATCTCGAGAAATTTGGGATCTGTTGGGGAGGCCTTTGGAGTCAGTTATGTAGCGTTTTGGCTCATTAGCTCCGAGCTAGAACTTTGATTCTTTATTCCCAAACTGTGTTGGGTGTTGAGGTGCCTCTACACCGAGGTGGTTTCTTGGGCCGAGGTGGCTGAATACCCAAGCTCCGAATGTTGCGAACTGGGTTCGCTTGGCTGAGTTGTCACTCCTAGATTAGATCGCACCTACGTGTCCCCTTCTTGCTAGGTCGTGCCAAATCACCCTTCATCAATTGCCCCCCACTCCTCATGCCAGGGGTCCCAACCCGGTGCGGGGAGTTCATGACAAGTCTAGGTGGATTTGGCACGACGTCTAGACGACTTGAAAGGCGAACCGTTGGTCGGGCCTATTCAACCACTTGGCTCAACCATGAAATGACCTAGGTCGCGTCTCGGCCACGTGCGGACGTCACACTATTTATAAACTCCACGGACGTCAAAACACGTGCTAAATCGATTTCAACCTTGGGGGGCATGCAACAGGTTTCCTTAGGAGCCATCGGATCGTGTTGATCTTGACTGTTGATTCCCGGATATACTGGCTATAAATAGGGGCCAAAGGGCCCATTTTCCTCTTCACAAGTCCGCAAATCCGTAATTTTTGAGGTCGCGTTCAAGTCTTTCAGTACGGAATTATCCTTTTCTGGGTCCGAGGTCGCCTTCTTTTCTTTGGTCTTCCTTTTGGTGAGTCCACCTTCCTTTGCTTTTTCCTTTTGATTCCGTTGTCCTTTCCTTTAATATGCCTAGCCTTAGATTAGATAGCCTTTTAGACGGGAGCGACGAGTCCATTGGGGCCGATGTGGGTACCTTGGCTCAGACCGTGGATCCTTGTCCTACCGAGGCAGTCACTTCGAAACAGGACGGGGTCCTCAGTCCGCTCGGGGTGAACTCACCTCGACGAGAGCGTGAGGCCTCTGGTAACTCGGCTTCCACCTTACACCGAGGTCGGTTTCCAGACAACTTCGATCTGTCGATAATGACGGAGGACAGGCTCCTAGCCTTAGTAGCCCGGTACAGACTCCCTAACGACCTTGTATATAGTATCCCCTTAGGCAACTTTCCTTGGGATCATGATCACAACGAGATCGTGATCTTCGAGGAGCAGCTCGTAGCCGGTCTGCGTCTTCCACTTCACCCTCTTATAATCAAGATTGTTAAATTCTTTAACATTACCATAGATCAACTACACCCGAACTCTATCTGTAATATCGTAGGGACCATTTCTGTTTTCCATAATTACAACTGTCCCCTTGACCTCGACATCTTTTCTTCAATCCTTTCCATTAAGAAAAATTCGTCCTGTGTTCTGCCCGAGCACAGACGAAGTTACTACTTGTCACCTCGTCCTGGATACAAACTGTTGCACGAGCTCCCTAATAAGGTCCCAGCTTGGAAGAGGCGTTACTTCATGGTCCACAACACCGAGGGGTGGCCCTTCCTGACTCATTGGAGGGCAGCCATTCAAGACCCCAACATTAGACTGGAACTAAAGACAAGGGAGGAGGTCCGATTTTGGGCGGAGCTCAGCCTGAATTTCGAAAACTTCATGATCGAGGAGAAGCTCGTGCAAGCTGGGCTAAGTCCTCCTAGTAGGTCGCTATTTGCTGTACTTTTTCTATTCGTTTTACTTTGGTATTGTATCTGACTTAGCTCGTTTTCACCGCACCTTCCATGGACGACATCCCTGTCGATGAGCTCTTCGGGAGCATGAAGAAGGGGAAGAAAAAGAAGAGAGCCTCCAAAAAGGCTCGCATCGAGAGTGAACCATCCACAAATGAGGCTGTCGTTCCTGAGCTCGAGCACCCACCAATTGCCGAGCAGCCTCCCGTGATCGATCTAGTCAAGGAGGACTCGGGCAAGCCCACCCCACCCTGCATGCCCAAGGGGGCTATGTCTTCAGAGCCCCTCCYAGTGAACGCCACTTCTTCGGGTAGCGATGCTCTAGTTCGGAGCATTTTGACTCCAAAGTTCGGCCTTCTCAAGAGCAAGGATGCGATGTTCACTGAGGAGGTCACTCGTTGGGCCGACTTGCTAGTCACTCAACTTGGGGCTCATGCGGCTATACACTGTATGGCGGTACGTTCTTGAACTTGTCTTTCAAATTGTCTCGTACTTAGATTTTTTGTATACTGATACTCGTTTTCTTCTCTTGGCAGGTGAACTCCTCTATCCATGCCTTGGCTTATCAGTCCAAGGTGAACCTAAAGCGGGCTCTCGAAGCCGGGGAGCCTTCCCGAAATGCCCATGTCGAACTAAACTTAGCTCGCAACGAAATCAACCAACTAAAGAACGATGCGCAAACTAAGAAGGAGCTACTAACTCTGCTGATGTCAAAGAAGAAGGAGCTCAAGGAGCGTGAAACGACATTGAAGAGGGAGGTCAAGAACCTCGAGGCCCATGCGAAGGAACGAACCGAAATACTGCTTCAGGCGATGGAGGAGGCCAAAGTTAAGGCTGTTGAGGAGTACAAATCCTCAGTGGAGCTTCGGGAAAGGCTACTCGAGGCAGGGACAGCGGGTTACAGCAAGGAGTTCAAACTCAGCAGGTGGTTGACCCGGCGTGAATTTCCCCACCTCGACCTTAGTGCCATAACCACATCGAAGATCACCAAGGAAATGGCCATCGAAGCTGCCAAAGATCCAGACTCCGAAGTAGAGAGTGATGACGACCAGCTTGATGAGGAAGAGGAGACCAGTGCTGGTGAGGACCGTATGGAGACAGATCCTCCTGCCAAAGTCTCCAATAAGGATGAAGAGCCCTGAAGTGATTGAAGCCTCTTTTCTTGGACCCCCTATTTTTGTAATGCTCAATATTCCAAGCCTCCAAGCTTGGTCAATTGTAATCTTTCTCTCTTTTTTTTTGTTGTACTTGAAGTCCTATATCAATGAAATACAAGTGTTTTTGCAATCTTTGTGTGCAAATTTTTTCTAAGCGTAGATTACTCCCGAGCTGGCGAACTAAACCAAATAGGAGTGAACTTTTTTCTAAGTATAGGTTGCTCCCGAGCTGGTGAGCTTGACACTAGTAGGAATGATCTAATTGCCATTGTATGCCAGGATGAACAGACACTGTAAGGTACATACCCGATCTATCTATGCCCGGGTCACTCATTTGCCTAAGTGTCGGTTATCTCTAAGTGTCGAGCTAACGAGCTTGACTCCAGGTGGGATTAACCTTACGTTGTTGTACGCCGAGGTGAATTAGACACTGTAGGATTTGCACTCGAGCTGTCTATGCCTCATAGGCGTCTAAGACTTGTTTGCCTATGCCGAAGAGGCGACTAGGATTTGTCTGCCTACGCCGAAGAGGCGACTAGGACTTGTCTATTTATGCCGAAGAGGCGACTAGGACTTGTCTATTTATGCCGAAGAGGCGACTAGGACTTGTCTGCCTATGCCG